GTTTTGGTAGTTTATTTTCTAAATCCAGTTGACTAAAGACTGTGAATTAGTTTTTTTGTGTAAGGATAGTTGACTCTTGAGATATTATAGAGGTGGAATAGGGAGCAGATGTCTTTATCCCCAAGTTTAGAGTGTCTCTAGTTGTTGAGGTAGTAGGTGTCATGATGTAAGTGTCTTTTCCTATATTGTTTTCTTTTTTTACCATCAATTTTGTCGACAGTTTTTGCTTTTTGACTTTCCCAATCCTTTTTTTCATTGTTATTAATGTTCTTTTCTCTTTTTTGCTTTTCTTCTTCTTTTTCTTCTTCTTTTGAAGTTGGAGCGGTGTATGTTGGAGTATGACATTGTCTTCCACTGTTCAGATGCTCTTTCTGGTTTGTCGCTTTCCTTAGTCGTTGCGGAAGTTGTTGCCTTATGTGGGCATTGGTATGGGTTGTGTCCCAGGCATCTGCATATTGTGCACAGTGGGTTGGTGTCTTTGTAGTGGACATCCTGCAGGTGTTTTCCAATCATGACATTTCTTGGTAGTGGTTTCCCTAGTGGCGCAAGGATACATAACTGTGCATATCTTCCCCTAGTCGTGTTGGCTGTGCAGCTGTCAATCTTCAAAACATCGCCAATCTTTTGGCCTATTTTTCAGTATTTCAAGGTCATAGTATTCTGTGGGTAGTTCTTGAAGTCGTATCCAGGTGGTGGAAAAATTGATGTGGTTTGCGTTTGGGTTGAATTTTGGTTTCCATTTTCTGACCGTAAGGTACTGTGATCCAATAAATCAAGGTCCGTGGTTGATGATTCTTAGGTAGTGGTCGGTGGAAGAGATCTTTATAAGGTAGTAATTATTTCCCAGGTCAATTAAGTTTAGGGATTTAGATGAGTTCTAGGTTTTGTGGATCTTGGTTCGTAGCAAGTTGTACCCCATACCTTTCCCCAGTAGTTTAATGATTATGGACCGTTTCCAGGGTTCATATAGTCCGGTTCTGTCCTCAACTGTGATGGGTATGTAGTTCGAGTGATTTGATGGGTTAGTTTTCTTCTTCTAAGGTAAGTATACTAAAAAGTGTACAATCAAAATCCATGGGAGTAAAAGTTTGTTTGTTGGTTACGGTATATCTGTAACTTGTTTCCATAAAAGGTCTGTGTGTACTGCGTGAGAGGAGGTCCTCTTCTTCCTTGGTTGTGGTGCTGTTGTCCATCATGACCTGCTATGTTGCTGCAATGGCTTTTATTACCTTGCGTAAATTTGCTTCAAATATTGCATAGATGTGGTTGTCGTTTGATTGATGTGTGAAGTAAGTATTGTTGATAAGATTTGTTTGGATTTTTTGTGATTTGGTGGTTTCTCTCTCTAAAAGGTTAGAGAGAAGTGAGAGAACCCAAATATTCTTAAGTTCTTCAAATTGCCAACTTCCGGTAAATAGTGTTGAATTCTTCTAGGAACCTCCAAAACTAAATTCGAAAATATGTACAAGTCCAAAATCATCATACGTATCGGAACAATCAAAACCCGATTCCAAGTCCCTTTACCCAAAAGTCAAATCTTGGTCAACTATTCCAACTTAAAGCTTCTAAAACGATAATCATTCTTCCAAATCAATCCCAAACCGCTCGAAAACTAAAAGCAACCATACACGCAAGTCAAAATACATAATATGAAGCTACTCAAAGTCTCAGACCGCCGGATGAAACGCTAAAGCTTAATACGACTGGTTGGATCGTTGTAGGAATGGGCAATCGATTTATCTCTTTGTTGTTTTCTTACAGACTAACCAATAGGTTGAATAATTAATGAACGTTTTACTGTAGGTTTAATAATCAACTTAATTACAACAACAACAACAACAACAACAACACCAACAACAACAACCCAGTGAGATCCCACAAGTGGGATTTGGGGAGGGTAATGTGTACGCAGACCTTACCCCTATTTCGGAGGAGTAGAAAGGTTGTTTCCGGTAGACCCTCGACACAAGGAGGGAGGAAATAATCAACCTAATTAAACCACCACTTTTTACCGTAAGGGGCATGGCTCAATCTTCCCAATTTAGCTCCAATTTTTCTCCTTTGGTCTCATTTATGAAGAGCATTACTTCATTTATCTTCTCTTTTTATTTTCCATTTTATATTCTCTTTCATATACATCCAGCCAATCTTTGTTTGTACAATGGAATGGACCATCGATTTATCTCTCCATTGTTTTCGTATAGACTAATGAATAGTTTCAATAATCAATGAACGTTTTCTTTTCCATAAATCAAGATATTATGTGAATTAATATATTATTGAATACAAATACTCATATACCAAAAAAAATGGTCTAATTGCTACAGTTATGATATACCAAATTCAAATGGTGCCGGCTGAAAGGTAAGGCGAGTAAAGTAACACCTCTTAGGCCCCCCAATGTTTGCGGCTCCATTTTCACTAGGAGGTCTATGAATTATTATTTTTTATTAAAAAAAAATAGTATTGTACAAAGTAAAAAGGTATTGCTTTAATTGATTTGTTGTTGGTGTTGACCCCGTATGAGAATATATTTTGTTTTCTATTTAGTGATAAACATTTGGGTTCACTAGATAATCAAAATATGTGGAAAAATATTTTGTTAACCTTGAAAGTTCCTTAAAACATGGTAAGTAGTCACTTAATTTGATATTGATAGTTTAAACTTAATTTCCAAATAAAAAGTTTTAAGAAAATAGACATCAAATAAAATATATACAAAAAAAAATTATGAATAAAATTAAAGCCTCTCAGCAAGATTTGGCTTTAGGCCATCAACTGCATTAAGCCGCCCCTCAATCCAAACATCTGATTTGGAAAATACAAGTTCAGTAAGCAGCTAACAGTGGTATCTAAATATTTGAAATCTAACGAAAATCCAAATATTAATATAGTGTACTTATATTTAGGATGGCAATGGAACAGGGAAACAGCAGGGCAGGGCATGAGAATATTTAAATGGGGTCGGGCCGGGCAAAACCTGATTTTTGAAAAACCTTTATTCCTTACTTTGGTGTTTATGACTTGTGAGTGTTACAGACTAATCCCCAACTTAAGAGTTTTTGACTGAAAAGTGTGAACCAACTTTTCTTATACTAATATAATTTTCAAAAAACCTTAAGAACATAAACCATATAAAAATATTAATATTATTACCAAAAAGCATTAGAGCACTAATTTTTACTGTCTCGTCAAAAATTATTCGTACTTATATTTACTTGTTAAATCAGTAACCAATCTATTGACTCTAGCTCCTTCATACATACACGCCTTTAAAATATAAAACTTCTTTCTTAATTAGTAAATAAAGAATTTGGTGAACTGATGAATAAAATGAAGAGAAGAAGTATTAGAGAGCCAATTTCAGATACTTAGCTATCATTAGAAAATGGAATATAGAGCTCCAATAAAATAAAATACAACATTGCAAAGTGCAACAAAAAAAAAGGAATTTTTAACCCTATAGAAAACCTTAGTACCCTATTTATTTCAAATAAATATCATTTTAAAATATTACATCCTATAGATACCTTTTATACTTTATAGCCAAATATCTAATTATAGTTACATCCTACATTTAAGGCACCATATATGCTAAATAATATTTTTCTCTCTCCTTTTTAGTCTTTTCTCTCACATAATCACCGTAAAATTGACTAACCACGTTCTCTCTCTCTTTTTGCATACACTTTACTCTTTCTCCCTCAACCCACGATTCATACCTCTTCTTCCACCCAAATTCTCTAGTTCTCCTCCATTATCACTCCATTACAATCGCTTAGGGTAAGTTTAATTCGTTGTTTTTATAGACGAAAAGCAATTGGTTCAACTGTAGCGGCTCGATTCTGCATGGCAGTGGTCGTCGAAGTAGGGTTCACAGCTTTTGCGTAATTCATGGCTTCGTTTGTGGGATTTGAGGGTTGGGGATTGTTTGTAGTTGTTGTAGGAGGTTGGGCAGATGTGTTAGGGGGGCTGACCAGCCGGAATTAATGGCTGGCCGGCGAAGCCATAAGGCTGTTTCTCTCTCTAGATCGCCCAAATCGCCTATTTGTATTCAGTTGTATTCGAATGTATATTTCAGCTGTATTCACATGTATTCAGCAGCATTCATTTATATATTTTAGATGTATTAAAAAGTTACGCGTATTCTCTTGTATTCAGTTTTAATCAGTTGTATTTGACTATTTTATTCAGCAGTAGTTAGTTGTATTCAAGTGTTTAATACAACTGTATTCAGTTGTATTCAGTTGTAATTAGTTATATTTAACTATTTTATTCAGCAGAAGTTAGTTGTATTTTATTGCATTCAAGAGTTTTATTCAGCTGTATTCAGTTGTATTTTGTTGTATTCAAGTGTTTTATTCAGATGAATTAAGTTGTATTTTGTTGTATTCAACTGTATACAGTTCTACTCAACTGTATTATTCATATGTATTTCTCTTTATTCAGCTATAATCTTTATTATGTATCTTTAACATACAGATTAATGAGGGATCATTTTAGTTCGTTGAGTTAAATTAGGAGAATATCATGTGATTTGATTTCCTTCCGTTTTTAACCGGTTTAACCTTCCAGATTTTGCGCAGATACGTTACTGTATTTAACGTTAATGCCGCTTGAATACAGCTAAATACATGTCAAACTTAGCTGGAATTTCACTTTTTACGCCTATTTTTTTGGTTGTATTAATGAATACAACAGCTTAAATACATGAAATACATTGTATAAAAACATAAAAGGTATCTATAACACGTAATATAGCAAAGGGTATCTATAAATGGCTAATTAGACCTAAAAGATGGTGCTTTATGAAAAATTCTCAAAAAAAAAAAAAGCCTAAATGGGGGCAAGGCAGGGCTTAATAGGGCGGGCAGGGTAAATAATTTAAAAATGCAAAATAGGACCGGGCGGGTCAAATGTTTAGCAGGTTAAAGCTTGCCTTGCTCCGCCCCAATTGCCATCCCTACTTATATTTCTAAGTAAAGAAAGAATAGTTGTCATCTACCGATCTCACCATTGTAAAATTACCAAGGCTGCAATCAGCAATTTCTTGCTCGTCTAAAATTTTCTCCACGTTTACATACAAAGCTTTTCAGGTAGAATCATCTGAGCCTCCAACTAATTTTCTTTTGTAGATATCATAAATCTGGGAAACATTCTAGGAACCATGATCCCCACATACAGTATTTATAACATCAAATTTACACACATCATTTTATCAGTTAAATAAAAGAAAAGTATGTGCCTGAATGTTGAATATATAAATCAACCTCTTCCTGCATTACCATGCCGTTGATTTCGGAAATAGCTAAGAAGTTGTTGAGCCTGCATGTAGCCACAAGAGTAAAATTTAGACATACCCAAAATACAAAAGGGTTAGATTGATAACACACGTATTAGAACTCAATGCAAGGGGAACCCTTTCAAGTTAATTAATATTAAGTCATTAGAGTGCTTTAAAGGGACAGTGATCGAGCTTAAAAGTCCAATTGAAGGAGCAATTTAGTCAAGGAATATTTTGGTCATTTTTGTAATTAGTTAATAGCTACTATAACTAGTGACATTTAGGGTTTATTTCATTAGTTAGCTTATGATGAAGAACAAGGATACTCATTGCGAGTGTAGGGCTCGTCTCATTTCTCTTCAATGACGTCTAATTTTTGTATGAGTCATTTCATTTCTCCCTTGGATTATACTTTGTTAGTGGATGTTAATTTAGTTTTTTCCAAGTTCATTGCTTACTAGACGTTTACTAGTTGCATTCAATACTTAGTTTAATCATTTCTCTCTTCTATCCTTGATTAGTGATTATTAGTGTGATTTCAAGGGTTTAGCTAATTTATGGTTAAGTTCTTGTTATTCCTCAACCCTTATCCCTAATTCATCTATCACTTCTATTGCTTTATATTCCAAATTCAAGGTTTTATTATGGGGTTTGATTGATTGATATTCAATTTCCTTAAATCTTCCTGAGTTGGTTGTTATCATAAAGTTTATACACACTGATAGCATACTGAATTTTTATGCTACCAGTATAATTTAACATGTTATAACAGGTTATTTACTCTATTTTCCAAGTTATCATATTACTTCTTTTATAAAGAGTTACTTGTTATTTGCTGGATAACTTAACCTAATGGTGCAAAAAGAGATAGTGCAAAGAAATTAAAGAAACAAAATGGATGAAGTTTCTGGCATCAAACCTTTTCTCTTGCTCTTGGGGTCCCGGACTGCGACAATGCCACTAATGGAGGTACAGCTCCTTCCTGGAGAACCATGTTGCAGAACCTGCTACTGTTAGTGCATAGTTGCAAGAGAGCAGCTGCTGCGTTCTCTTTACCCCTTGCGGAGCCCAGCTCAACAACCTCAACGAGAAGAGGAATCCCTCCTTCCTGACCAATTTCTGCTCGTCCCTCGGGAATGGTAGCAAGGTTGGACAAAACTGCAACAGCCTTGTCAACCATCCCAGTAGCAGGGTCCATCAACTCTACGAGATACTTTACTGCACCAGCCTGTATTATACGAGACTTGTTCTCATGAAGTATTGACAAGTTAAATAAAGCTGTCGCTGCGTCTTTCTTGCCCCTTGGAGTTCCATTTCCCAATAAATCAACAAGAGGTTTGATTGCTCCAGACCTCCCAATCTTCATCTTGTTTTCCTCCATCACGGAAAGGCTAAAAAGAGTAGCAGCAGAATTTTCTTTGGCCTCGGCGCTCCCTGTCTGGAGGACATGAATCAGAGGTTCAATTGCATCAGCATTTGCAATGGCACACTTGTTGTTGTCATTAATTGACAAGTTGAGAAGTGCAGTAACAGCATCTTCCTGTACTTTCATGTCTTTTGAGTGAAGTAGGCTAACCAACGAGGTGATAGCGCCACAATTTGCAATTACCATACGGTTATCCATATTATGCTTGGCAAGTAACCGGAGTTCAGCTGTAGCATTTCTCTGCATGTCAAGGGAAGTGCTCTTCAACTCCTCAATCAACTTTTTTACTTGCTCCTCAACTTCTGAAAGATCAGCCCTTCTTTCAACTGTAGCGGAAGAAACTATTCTTGGAAACCTCTCGGTTGGTCTGCGCCAGATCAGTTGATTACGAGGTCTCATCTCTGGTGTAGATGGAAATTCTGGCTCCTTTGGAAGGACAGAAGCAGCAGGCTTGGAATCCAACCCAACATCCCCTGAAGCAACAGATGCATCTTCTGACAACTTGTTTCCATCACCAGGAATTACAGGGGAAAAGTTTGAATTAGAAAGCGTGCTGGGTGCCGAGGTTGTTCGATTATGACCCAGAGGGAACTGGTCATCAGCTACTAATGTACTATGACCATGTGAACTTATCTCTCCGGAGTGGGCCATCCGGTCTTCACTCTTAATACGCATCCTTTCAACATCAAAAGCAAGAACATTACCACCAACTCCAGGTAAAGATTCCTCTGAAGAGGAGCGGGGATGAGATGGAGATGATTCTTCTCTTTGGCTTTCAGTTAATGAAATCAAACTCTTTCTCGGAGAACCTGAAGATTGCGTGGAGTCTGGTGACACAGATGGCTGGTTCAAGCTCAAAGACTTCATGGGATCAGGAAGCTTTACATTGTTTATTTCGCACCAGTTTGCGATAAGTGCCTTAACAGTGTAATTAGGAATGAGATTTGTATGTCCCAGAGTTTGCCGTGTCTTGGGGCAAACAGTGAGGCCAAGATCAATCCATCTCCTTATAAAAGCTCTCTCATAGGTTTGACCAGAAGCAACAATTACAGGGTCAGTCATCAACTCAAGTGAAAGAGGACAACAAAAATCAGGAGGTATTGGCACAGCGGTACAGCTCTGGGACTGTTTTGTGGTGACAAAGCAATCGTGCATATGAGAAACAAGAGTTATCATTTGCTCAATATATTCAACTTCTTCACTCTTTTCCGCTTGTTCAGCATTCTCTTTCAATTTTTCAAGGGCCACGAGTTCAATCAAAAGCTCTTGGTTTGAGTTCAAGCTTAGGCAATCAGCAATTTTGGCAAAGCTATCTGAGCTGGTTCCCAAGCCTTCCACTTGAGCTTTAATAACCTTCGTGATTGTCATTGATATCATTTCATAATCTACATACTTAATTTTCAGTATATAGAGCTGCCATCCAAACAAAAGACATCCACGTTAAAAATGGGGGAAATTGACAAACACAATGAAGAAAGAGAGATAGATAGATAGAGAGAGACAGAAAGAGTAGGGAGGAAGATTTCACAGCAGGGTCAGATGAATGAAACTCTAAATTGCTCGGACTCAGGTGTGGATCTAGAGGTCGGCTCCTTCATGATTTAAATTTTAAGATTCAGGGTACAGATCCAGGTACGGATATAGGTGCAGGGACGACTAAAAGTAATTCAAATATCTAAAAATACACTTCTAGAAATATGTCTAAATTATGAACATTACGTGGAAAAACTTACAAGGTATTCCAAGAAGAGAAAATATTGATCAAGAGGAGAATCCGAGAAGGAGATAAAAGGAAAAGGACTGACATAGATATTTCTATATACAAGGTGTTCCATTTTCTTCAGTTTCAACCCTAACTTTTGCTTTGATTTGTTTCTGTCCTGAATTTCTCCGTCGATTTTGGCCAAAGTACCCAAAAGCGGTTGACCAGATCCGCTACGGATCCCACACCCACGTCGTGTCGACACGGGTGCGTCACCAAAGTGAAGAGCCCGAGCAACTTAGAAGAAAACTAAAGGGATAGAAAGAACAGACATGTTCTTAGTTCCTACCTCAAGAGTTGTCAAAGTTACATCAGCAGGAAGGCTTTTATGAGAAGATTTAAGAAACTCAAGTATTTCCAGGCTACATGATCGAATTTTTCCAATCAATGGTTCAGCTTGCAGGACCTACATATCATCCAAAATCAAAACATCAGCAAGAAAGATACTATACAATTTAGCTGAAAATACTGAAAATGTGTTACATGTTAGTCATGAAGATTATATGAGCACAAAAAGAAACAACAATAGAGTTTTCTTTAATTTTAAAAGTTGTAAGTACTATTAAGTGCAGACTGTAATAAGATAATCTGCTTATTGAAGACATGAAAGTTATGACAAGAGGATAGATCTCCAAACGTACAAAATAGACTTTACTGCACAGCGGTTCCCAGGTCTCAAATAGCTCCCTCAGTTCATCAACACATTGAGCCAGCCCAGCAAATGCTTTCAGAAGCAGCTCACCAGAAGCAGCTTCAACATCAACGATGGCGTCAAAAATCGGCTTTACAAGCTTCAGTATATCCTCAATCTTACAATAATATCTACGAACCAGTTCACCACTTATGTGATCACTTGATGATAAATGGGAAAAACAGGAGATATTGTTGAGAAGCACTTTTAACAATGATATCTCCATTCCACCTGGTCAATTAGAATCAAAGTCCTCAGTAAACCAAATCAATAATATACACCAAGATTATACACTTCAGTTGAATCACAGAGGATAAAATGGATAAATTATCTCTTCAATTCAGGAGATAAGAAAACTGATCTGCAATCTATGCCAAAAATTAAGAGAAAATTAAGTCGCAATATTGTATAGAAGCACTTTAGCTAAATCACTAGCTGAGAATTTCCAGGAATACAGCTGATTCTTATCTTTAAAACACTCATTCAGATAAGGATATCTGACATTCTAAAAGGATTTAAAATTTGTTCGTTTGAGCCAAAAAAAAAAAGTATATTTCAAAGACACAAGTGTCACGAGGAAGATGATCAGTGTTTGGTCATGCTCATAAGTTTTTTTCTTAAGTTTGTTCATAATCTTAATGTGTTCTCATATCACACTTTTAGCGAAGCTACTCTTGGACTTGGCCACTCTGGACTAAACGTGCTCCCTCATCCTTCTCTATGTGTTACATTTTATTTCCCAGAGTTCCTCCCTTGCTTTTTTCAGTAATTTACTAATAACGTGTCTCCTCCTCAATTCTGTACTACACTACCTGTTTGAGTTAAATACTCTGAAGATGTATCCTTAATGTAACATTTATGCCCATTACATTATTTGTATGAGCCATGTTATTAGAGTGCATAACAGGGAAGACGGACAACTTCACTGAGTATCAAAAAAATAAAAGTCTAAAAGTCATACAAATATGAATATTAACACATTTATTGCACAAGCATATTTACAAAGAAAAGGAATATCCACTACGCAAATTTAGCAGTTATGCAGATTTAGCAGTCCCCACTTGTGGGATTTCACTGGGCAGTTGTTGTTGCAGATTTAGCAGTCATGTTGGAACTACATCAAGGTTACAACAACAAGGACAATCAAATTGTATATTTGTTACAACTTGTCCATGGGATTAACAACATCATACATGAAAAATGACATTTCGAAGTGATTGCTGAATAGAGGTAAATAATGTTGTATCGAAGTTAATGTCGCCTCGAAGGTCCAATATATCCATAATATGAATGTGGTAGAACTGTACATAATAAGATGAATATACGATAATACAAGATTGGACCACTAGAGATAATCACAGCCGACAAATGGTGCAAGTAGTACACATAGAAGATAAAATATGAGAAGGTTGCCTGAGTTAGTCCATGTCTAACCTCTAGATGCACGGGTTAAGGGCAACGATACGATGATTGACAGTGTTAAAACAGGACAAGATTGGCCTAAAATCAGAAAGAGCAAAGTTATGTCAAAAGACCTAAAACTCATTTGAAATCAACGCAGACTAAGCTAAGAACATAATGTAATGGAAAAAAAAGAATCTATATAACAATATTCACTAGTTGGAACTAAGGAATTAGGATCAGTTGTTATTACACTTACATAAGGCCTGGTTTGTCAGAACATCAGGTTACTTATACAGCCATGTGAGAATGAGTATGAGATCTAGAGAGCCCTCTTTTCTTGAATCTTCTATCTAGTCGAGACGTGACCTTTAAAGTCAATATTACCACACTTACGGGGAAGGGAAATAACACATCTCCTGAACCCAAAAATTATAAATTCCTGTTCCGTACTTTTACTGAGAACTTCATGCTCCACATGAGAAATACCATGGAAGATTTTGTTGCGTTGTTGTAACTTTAATATCTGAATGGAGAATATTTCTGTCAAATTAGGGTCAAGCATCTAATTCAGCAACCTCACCCCCCCCCCCCCCCCCCAA